CGCCGGCGGGCAATCAGTTCATGCACTTTTCTGGTGAGTGACAGCGCGGACGCCACAGCACTGCGAGCATGGAGCCCGGTGCGACAATCGCTGCAGTTATGGCCGTTGTCAACACCTCGCACCTTATCATCCACCTTTTCCAGAGGCAGATGCTGAGAAATTGGGTGAGGAGGCTACGGCAGCGTGGTGAGGACATGAAGTCTTAGAGTGGCACAGACCTCTCGCAAAGGACGGGACCCCGCGCCGAGGACATCATGGTGGCAATGGGTCATGTTGATGCTGTGGAATGGCGATTCTGGGCCCAGGAAACAAGCACGGACTGGTGGGACCACATAGTGCTGCAGGTCTGGGATGAATCACAGTGGCTGTGAAACTTTCGCATGCGGAAGGGAACTTTCCTGGAACTTTGTGAGTTGCTGTCCCCTGCCCTGAAGCGCAAGGACACTCGGATGCGAGCAGCCCTGAGTGTCCAGAAGTGAGTGGCCATAGCCCTCTGGAAGCTTGCAACGCCAGACAGCTACCGGTCAGTTGCGAACCACTTTGGCGTGGGCAAATCTACCGTGGGGGTTGCTGTGATGCAAGTAGCCAACGCAATCGTTGAGGTACTGCTGTCAAAGGTAGTGACCCTGGGAAACGTGGAGGTCATCATAGATGGCTTCGCCGCGATGGGATTCCCAAACTGCGGTGGGGCTATAGATGGAACTCACATCCCTATCCTGGGACCGGACCACCAGGCCAGCCAGTACATTAACCGAAAGGGCTACTTTTCAATGGTGCTGCAAGCACTGGTGGACCATAGGGGACGTTTTACAAACATCAACGTCGGATGGCCGGGCAAGGTTCATGACGCTCGTGTTTTCAGGAACTCTGGTCTGTTTAGACGGCTGCAGGAAGGTATTTACTTCCCGGACCACAAAATAACTCTTGGGGATGTGGAGATGCCTATAGTCATCCTCGGGGACCCAGCCTACCCGCTAATGCCCTGGCTCATGAAGCCCTATACAGGCGCCCTGGATACTGAAAAAGAACTCTTCAACTACCGGCTGAGCAAGTGCAGAATGGTGGTGGAGTGTGCTTTTGGACGTCTCAAGGGGAGATGGAGAAACTTACTGACTCGCTCGGATCTCAGCGAAACCAATATCCCCATTGTTATTGCAGCTTGCTGTGTGCTCCACAATCTCTGTGAGAGCAAGGGGGAGACCTTTATGGCGGGGTGGGAGGTTGAGGCAAATAGCCTGGCTGCTGATTACGCCCAGCCAGACAGCCGTGCGATTAGAAGAGCCCAGTGGGACGCGCTGTGCATCTGGGAGGCTTTGAAAGCTAGGTTGCACAGTGAGCAGGGTAACCTGTGACTATTAAGTTTGTTTACAGAGAAGCTGAACCTGCCCACATTTCCTTACCCAGTGAATGTTCACTATCCTCTCCAGTCACATACCCCATTCACCCCGTTCCCCCCCTTCCAACACACCTTTAAAAATAAAATCACTGGAAATTTGTTAATGAACACAGTTTTCTTTATTACTGTTTTCGCAGTAAAGTGTTGAAACTGGGACGCAGACTGTGGTGGGGAGCGGGTGTAGTGTAGTGATGCAAATGACGCTTCTAAACTCGAGGAATGACAGGCTCCTGCTCCTAGAGTGGTCCGCACTGGTGGACTGGTTGTTTCAACGGAGCCTGCCACCCCTCCTGTTCAGGACTCTGTGTGTGGGGGCTATGTGACTTTGTGGCAGGGGGAGGACGGTTACAGATCCCCTGCTGCGTGGCTCTGTGATCCAGGTTAAGGACCGCTGCATAAGATCTCTAACCGCCCTCCCCCGCCACAAAGTCACATAGCCCCCACACACACACACAGAACATGAAAACCACCTCACAGACTGACCAGGGTGCCTAGTGACTGCAATGTGTGTGTGACCTGCTACTGAACCTGCCCCCGCGTCTGTACCCTGGTAAAGGTGACTGTCCTGTCCAATTACCAACCACCTTCCCCCCCCTTCAAACAGACTCTCCTCTAAAAGAACATGATGGAAACAGTAATTAACAGAAACGTATTTTTTATTAGCAACTACACACTTAGGGGATGAAACTGGGACGGGGGCTTGGGTGAGGCGGGAAGGAAAGGACTTATCAAATTTTGGGGAATGACAGCCTTCTGGTACTTGAGCGGTCTGCAGGGGTGGAGTGAGAGTTTTCACGGACTCTGCTGCCCCTCCTTCTTGGGACTTTGGGTGAGGGGGTTATGGGACTTTGTGGCGGGGGAGGGCGGTTACAGATAGACTGCAGCGGGGCTCTGTCCTCCTGCCTCCGGTCCTGCAGAACATCCACAAGGCGCCGGAGCGTGTCCGTTTGCTCCCTCATTAGTCCAAGCAGCGTTTGAGTCGCCTGCTGGTCTTCCTGCCGCCACCTCTCCTCCCGTTCAATGTGTGATCGATGGATTTGGGACATGTTCTCCCTGGGTCTGCTGGGCTGCCTTGGCTCGGGAGCAGCCCATAAGTTCCGAGAACATGTCGTCCCGTGTCCTTTTCTTTCTACGCCTAATCTGCGCTAGCCTCTGGGAGTGTGATGCCAGGGTAGGTCGGGAAACAGTCGCAGCTGTGGGATGGGAAAAAGGGAGTGAATTCCTCGGAAAGATAAATTTTGTTGTGAACAAAGAACATAGTCTTTCTCTGTGAACAAGACCATGCACAGCACCTATCACATGCGCACTCAGGACAAGGTCGAATTTTCGGCCTTCGCATTCAGTGCCTGGGGTCTTGCAGTGCAGATCTGACAAGCGGGGCAGGACAGCGGAATTTGGGTAGCAGGCTGACATGGTAAGCTGTAGACTTGTGGCTGCTTAAAACTTTAATAATAGCACTGGCCTCCTTTCACGTTCAAAGCAATGCTCCTAGCGTTGGCCAGTTCCGGCTGCCAGCAATCCGGCAAGCATGAACTCTGCCCCTGTCCCACCCCCTCGCGGCTGTCCCAGGAAAAGATCCCTGTATGCTGCCCCTCTCCCGCCTCCACCGCGTGGCTGTAAACCGCCGGTTACAGTTCTGTAAAGGAACAGGCAAGCAGTCCCAATACTAACATTCCCCTACCTAATTCAAAGCAGGTCACCATGAGCGACATCACTCTGATGAGGATTTCAGAGACCGAGAAAGAACGGATGCTTTGTGAAAGCCTGCAAAGACCAGGGCCGTATGCCGCCATGCTCTGCAAGGCAATGATCCCGGAGTACTTGCTGATAGCCTGGCGCAGAAACGTTTCCTACTGTGGAGGACACAATAAGGCCGCTCTCCCAAGGAACCTCATGCAAAGGCTTTCCAATTACCTCCAGGAGAGCTTCATGGAGATGTCCCATGAGGATTTCAGCTCTATCCCCGGACATATAGACCGAATTTTACTGTAGCTGCACTGGCAAGGAATAAACAGTAGAGCGCCTAGGGCAAACCAATCATGATAAACCGGACATTGTTAGATTTTTTTGCAGTAGTTGCACTGCCAAGGACTGAAACGTTAAGCGCCTAGGGCAAACAAATCATGAAAAACACACTGTTAATATTAATGTTCTGTTCAAAATAAATGTTTACATGTTTAAAACACTTACCGATTGATCCTTCCCCTGATTCTGGGTCCGGGTTAACACCTGGGGACGGTTGGTAGGGGATCTCTGTGAGGGTGATGAAGAGATCCTGGCTGTCGGGGAAATCAGCGTTGTAAGCGCTGTCGACTGCCTCGTCCTCCTCATCTCCTTCCTCATCTTCCCTGTCTGCTAACATCTCCGAGGAACCGGCCATCGACAATATCCCATCCTCAGAGTCCACAGTCACTGGTGGGGTAATGGTGGCGGCCGCACCTAGGATGGAATGCAGTGCCTCGTAGAAACGGGATGTCTGGGGCTGGGATCCGGAGTGTCCGTTTGCCTCTTTGGTCTTCTGGTAGCCTTGTCTCAGCTCCTTGATTTTCACGCGGCACTGCATTGCATCCCGGCTGTATCCTCTCTCTGCCATGGCTTTAGAGATCTTCTCATAGATCTTTGCGTTCCGTCTTTTCGATCGGAGCTCCGAAAGCATGGACTCATCGCCCCACACAGCGATCAGATCCAAGACTTCCCGATCAGTCCATGCTGGGGCCCTCTTTCTATTCTGAGATTGCATGGCCATCTCTGCTGGAGAACTCTGCATCGTTGCCAGTGCTGCTCAGCTCGCCACGATGTCCAAACAGGAAATGAGATTCATACTGCCCAGACAGGAAAAGGAATTCAAATTTTCCCGGGGCTTTTCCTGTGTGGCTGGTCAGAGCATCCGAGCTCGGACTGCTGTCCAGAGCATCAACAGAGTGGTGCACTGTGGGATAGCTCCCGGAGCTATTACCATCGATTTCCATCCACACCTAGCCTAATTCGACATGGCCCTGTCGAATTTAGCGCTACTCCCCTCGTTGGGGAGGAGTACAGAAGTCGAATTTAAGAGACCTCTATGTCGAACTAAATAGCTTCGTTGTGTGGACGGGTGCAGAGTTAATTCGATTTAACGCTGCTAAATTCGACATAACCTCCTAGTGTAGACCAGGCCTTAGAAATAGGGCATTTCAGTAGATCATAAGTAAACATGTTTGGATTGAAAGGAATCAGACTTGGTGTATTTGAATCTTGTGGAAACCTAATATTAGAGTTTAAAAGAAATCAGATTGACAAATCCTTGGTTCTTAAATACAATACATACTGTGCAGTACATACTATAGAATCTTAAGTCTTTAAACTATTCTTTTTGTAAAGATAAACCTAGCATGGAGAAATAATCATACTTTAAAATGCACTATTTCATCATTATACAGTATAACAGATCTAGGGAAGGATATTTTATGTATGATGCAGACTTCTTTTATCAGTATCAGTATTTTATCAGGTTTTTGGACAAGTTTAACTAGTCAGAGCAAAAATATTTTAATTTCTTTTGTTTTTAAAGGTGTTTAAAAATGTATGTGTTTAAAGATTACCACCTCTGTCTGTTCTATTGCAGATAAGTATGTGCCTTTCATTGAGAGAAATCAACAGAAAGAGGAGGTTATGCAGGAGGAATAAGAAGCCAATATATCAACAGGGTTGGGGGGGTATTTAAATAGTGTATATTATGGTATGCTTAGTTTGTTGCAATAAATACTATAACAATTTGTTGTACCTCTTTGTATATACAGAAATACTCTAAATTCAGAGGGGTTTACACTAAAATTCAAAACTATTTGGAAAAGAGAGTCCCTTTTAAAACAGGGTATTTTCTGCTTATTTTAATTCCCTATTTGTGTATATGTATGGTATACTTTTCTATACCAATCTGGAATATGTTCACTTATTTTTGCCAATGTAATATTTTAAGTCCGTATCAACAACATCATCTTATGTATGTGTGAATTCTGTAGTACGGCTAGATTTTCTGTAGTTTAGTTGAGATTCTTTCCCTATCTTGAAAAAGCTCTGTGCCAAACTACTGCCTCTTTTTTGTTTGAAATTTTTAACTAAATGAATGTGAGTTGCTGTACGTAAACATTACTTAAAACTGCCAAGTGCACCAATAAAATGTTTACAATATTCCTAACATTTTGTATGACACTTTATTTATGCAGGTTTTAAAGTTGCCTTTGATAGGATCCTGAGAAATATGGTAATGTTATGGCCATTCTAGTCAACCAGTTATGACTGATAATGGTTCCATTGGCTTCTCTAACAAATGCAGTCACACTGACGTAAAGCTGGTGTATCAGAGTGGAGACTCTGGCTCCAGGGGCCACTTTCTCAGTTAATGTAAATCAGTATAGCTACATTGACATCAGTGAAGCTACTCTGACTTCCACCCGCTGAAGATCTGGTCCTTGGTATTCAAAGCCACCCAACAAAGGTAGAGCAAGAAGCCTTCATTTAAGCCTGTAATCCTTTCTTTAAGATATTCCAAGTTAATGGAGTGGCTGATATAGGACTCCGTAAATAAAGAGTTAAAGGAGAGTCATATAACTAATGTCAATCAACATGGGTTTATGGAAAAAAGATCCTGCCAAACTAAGTTGATGATGTTTTTTCAATGAGATTACAAGTTTGATTGATAAAGGTAACAGTGTTTATGTAGTTCCTTACAGAAATTTAAGTACGTTTGACTTGGTACTTCATTACATTTTGATTTAAAAAAAAAATTAGAATGATAGAAAATTAATATGGCTCACATTACATGGATTAAAAGATGGCTAACTGATAGGTCTTGAAATGTAATTGTAAACTGGGAATCAGCATTGAAAGGGCCTGTTTCTAGTAGGGTCCCACAGGGATCGGTTCTTGGCCTTATGCCATTTAAAATTTTTATCAATGACCCGAAGAAAACATAATTATCACTGAAAGTTTGCAGATGACACAGATTGGGGGAGAGGTAAATAATGAAGAAGGTAGATCATTGATACAGAGCCATCTGGATTACTTGGTAAGCTGGACACAAGCAAACAATATGCATTTTAATGATTAATATAAATGTATACATCTAAGAACAAAGAATGTAGGCCATACTTACAAGATGTGGGACTGGATCCTGGGAAGAAGTGACTCTGGGGTTTGTGGTGATAATCAGCTGAACATGAGCTGCGCTGTGGCCAAAAGGGCTAATAAGATTCCTATGTTTATGCATCGAAGGATCATAAGTAGGAGTAGTGTGTGTGATGGGTTGGATCACAGAAACCCCCCTGGGAGCTGCCACCTGATGTGCCAAGACTACCTCTGCTCCTGTCTTTCCCTGCCAGCTCAGGACTCCAGACACTCCCGTCTGCTCCAACAAAGACCCAGGGTCTGAATTATTTGCCCCAAAGCTGCAGGTTTTCCTGAAAACAGCTCACAGAAATGTACTTGTCTTTAGCATTCAGATGCCCAACTCCCAATGGGGTCTAAACCCAAATAAATCCGTTTTACCCTGTATAAAGCTTATGCAGGGTAAACTCATAAATTGTTCACCCTCTATAACACTGATAGAAACATTTGCACAGTTGTTTGCTCCCCCAGGTATTAATACATACTCTGAGTTAATTAATAAGTAAAAAATGATTTTATTAAATAAAGAAAGTAGGATTTAAGTGGTTCCAAGTAGTAACAGACAGAACAAAGTCACCAAGCAAAATAAAATAAAATGTGCAAATCTATGTCTAATCAAACTGAATACAGATAATCTCAACCTCAGAGATGCTTCAGTAAGTTTTTTCCTCAGACTGGACACCTTCCAGGCCTGGGCACAATTCTTTCCCCTGGTACAGCTCTTGTTCCAGCTCAGGTGGTAGCGAGGGGATTCTTCATGATGGCTCTCCCACTTTGTTCTGTTCCACCCCTTTATATATCTTTTGCATAAGGCGGGAATCCTTTGGGTCTCTCTGGGTTTCCACCTCCCCCCCCCCCACCCCCCCCTACCACACACACACACTGAAAAAGCACCAGGTTAAAGATGGATTCCAGTTCATGTGACATGATCACATGTCACTGTAAGACCCCCCTAAGCCTTCATTCCTACCAGCCTGACTCACAGGAAGGCTTGCCTGCAAACAGAGCCCCAGTCCATTGTCCTGGTGATGGGAGCCATTAAGATTCCAAACCACCATTAATGGCCCACACTTTGCATAATTACAATAGGCCCTCAGAGTTATAGTTCATATTTCTAGTCCCAGATACAAGAGTGGTACATTTATACAAATAGGATGATCGCACTCAGTAGATTATAAGCTTTGTAATGATACCTTACAAGAGACCTTTTGCATGAATCATATTCCAGTTACATTATATTTACTCATTACCATATTTTTATAAAACCATATAGACTGCACAACGTCACAGAGAGGTTATTTTATTTCTGTATTTGTCACTAGTGTGACTGCTGCTGGAATACTGTGTGCAGTTCTGGTGCCCACAATTCAAGAAAGATGTTAATAAATTGAAGGGTGTTCAGAGAAGAGCCATGAGAATGAATAAAGGATTAGAACACATGCCTTATAGTGAAAGACTGAGCTTCTTCTTGAGTCTATTTAGCTTAACAAAGAAAAGGTTAAGAGCTGACTTGATTACAAGCTGTAAGTCTCTTCATGTGAGCAAATATTTAATAATGGGCTGTGCAGTCTAGCAGAGAAAGGTATAACATGATCCAATGGCTGGAAGCTGAAGCAAGACAAATAAGGTGTAAACATTTAACAGTGAGAGTAAGTAACTGTTAGAATTTACCAACGGTCATGATGGATGCTCCATCAGTGACAATTTTTAAATCAAGATTGAATGTTAGTCTAGAACATCTTGTTTAGGAATTATCAGAGGAAGTCCTATGGCCTGTGTTATACTGAAGGTCAGACTACATCGGGGGTGGAGGACCTACAGCCCCTGTGCCAGGTTCGGCCCGTTGATTAATTTTATCTGGCCTGCGGAGTGGGGTGGGGGGCTCGTCCCACTCCGCCTGCCCACCTGGCACTCCAGCCGGGGAGCGGGGTGGAGGTGTGGGGCCTTGCCAGCCCGCAAGCCCCCTACCCCACTGCCTGCCTGGTGCACCGGGTGGACAGAGCGGGGTGAGCCCCCCATCCTGACCCAATTCCCCGGCAGGAGCGCTGGGCAGGGGGTCGGAGCAGGTCGGGGCACAGGAGTGCCCATTTTTCTAGGGTCCCCCAATTGGCAAGAGCTCCTGTGTACGCCCCTTTGGCCCAGTGGGAGGAGGATGGCAGGCGAATGAGCGGCAGCCCAGCAGCGGCAGAGGAATGCTCAAAAAAGGTAGGCCTGTTGCTTGGGGAGCCAGGCCCAGCATGAGACACTGGGACGGGAGCCGTTGCCACTGGAGAGCGGTGTTTCCTCTTGGAGCTGGGTGTGCACCTGGTGCCCCAGAGGGCCCCTGTCCAGAGTGTCAATCTCCCTCTCCAAGGCCAGCTGGAGGGGGTGGGAGGGAGGCGGCCCCAATCCATCTGTCCTCTTCCCCATCGCCCACCCACCTGAAGTCGGGGCCCACCCAAGTGTCCCGTCCTTGCTACACCACTGGGCCGACCACCCCGGAGCAGGGAGAGGACAGCCCCTCTCGGTCCAGTTCTGGGGAGGAGTTCCCTCCCCTGCCCTCACCCCCAACATCCCAGGGATCCTGCACTCAGCTCTGGGCCCCCCAGAAATATACTGACAAACCGGGGGAAATTCAGAGAAGAGCCACACAACAGCACCAGGGGATGGTAGGGCTGATTTATGATGAGAACCGCATCACAGCATCTGATCCAAAGACCGGGGTAGTCAATGGCATGGGCTTTGGATCAGACCCTTGCTTTTTACTTGTGTGTGGGCCGCGATTGATTTTTTTCTCTGGGTCAATGGCCCCGATAGAAAAAAGGTTCCCCACCCCTGGACTACATGATCACAATAGTCCCTGCTGGCCTTGGAATCTATGACCTCATTTAAGAGCGCACAAATTATGTAGCTAGCAGAGCTGAAGACCATAATTAAAGAGCGCAAACAAACTAATTATGGCTGTCAAGTGATTAAAAAAAAGAATTACGATTAATTGCACTGTTAAACAATGATAGTAATCTGCCCATATGAATAGCTACGGTGTCTCAATGTGATATGGAGATTTACTAGTAATATTTATTGAAAGCACATGAAAATAGTGTGTTTAATGGAATAGAAATGCCTGCTTTTTCTCCAATTGTTGCATTACAGTATTTCTAGAAATCTCAATGGGGAGAAATGCTCTTCTACTTCTAGTTAGAGCTGGGCTGAATTTTTCCACTGAAACTTTTTTGGCTGAGAAATGCAGATTTGGGTCTACTGAAATACTTCATGAATTCATGTTGATTTCAGCAAATTGTTTCAGATGGAAAGAAGAGTGAAAAAAGCAAATGTCAAAACAGTTAATTTTGACATTAACAGAACATTTTGATGTGTGTGTTGAGGGGAAGGCACTAGATTTTTAAGGGAACTTAGGTGCCATTCACATAGCTGAGGGTGAGGTAGGGTAATGGTGATTCCACACACTTATACCCAACAGTCTCCCACGTGAGTGCCTTAATCACTAAGGGTATGTCTACACCCAGCCGCTAGTTCGGCGGCTGGCAATCGAAGTTCTGGGTTCGACTTATCGCGTCTTGTCTGGACGCGATAAGTCGAACCAGGAAGTGCTCGCCGTCGACTGCGGTACTCCAGCTAGACGAGAGGAGTACCGCGGAGTCGACGGGGGAGCCTGCCTGCCGCGTGTGGACCGAGGTAAGTTCGAACTAAGGTACTTCGAACTTCAGCTACGTTATTCACGTAGCTGAAGTTGCGTACCTTAGTTCGATTTGGGGGTTTAGTGTAGACCAAGCCTAAGAAGCTATGCGGTATTTTGATGTGGAGCTGTTACACTTTGTATCTATATAATATGGTTACAGGATTGTCACTCTGAAACCTATTATGTCAGTAGAGGTCAGTGTGAAGTGAAAGAAACAGCTAAAATTACGGCTGAGGGCTTTCTTCATTCAGAATATCACCAGGTTGAATCATCACTGGGATTAATTGCAATTGTCTGTTTCCATCCAGTGTTAAAATTCGTAGCCATTTTGACGTTATGAATTACATCTAAAT